GAATAAAATGTCCATGGAATGTTCTTGTTGCCTGATCATTAATAATAAAAAACGCATTTCTTACTGTCTTAATAAATTTCATGAGAAGTCAATCATGCGCCTTGCTGTAGCAGCAGCTGAGGATGGAGATGTTAGTCTATTACACAATATTAAGGCCTGAGATCAGCTTTGAGCACAGCAAACAGGCTGTCAACAGTCATGGCTGCCAACTCTCTTAGATTTTTAGGGACAGTCCCTAGTTTGTTTCTATCCAGTTTATTCACTAAAATAGGGATTGTGGAGAAATGACAAAGGAATTGCAAACGCCAAAATCGCCAAACTTGATTTTAATAATTTGTCAGATTTTAGTAGTCTTCCGTCCCCAGCTGCCTCCTAAACTCCTCTCCCAGAGGAAATTAGAGTGACTGAGGCTCAATGGCAAATAAATCTTATCCTGACACATCAGTCTCAGCTAAATTTCTAATAAGGCGGTACATAATTACTCAGTCTCTTCACTGTATGCTGCTAGAGGGGGAACTGTAAATCACTTCATATTTGGGGGAGCTGCTCTCTCCTTTCCCCATTTTGGAGGTTGGTTCATACTAAGTTCCATGAAATTTACATGAAATTTACATGAAATTTACACCAGAAGTAACACCTTTCCACCTCTCTTTTGCCAATCTCTAAATATTACAAAAACATGAACCCAGCATTAAATGCCACCATGTTATTAATTCCCCAACTGTGGAAGCCATTTGTCATCTCCATCCTCCAGCATTGGACTACTATGGAACCTTTCACAACCCTTGACATCTCTAGCAATCTATGAAACCCTTGACATCTCTAGCAATCTATGGAATCCATACCTCTAGCATTCTATGGAATCCTTCATAACTCTAGCATTCTATGGAATCCTTCACAACTCTAGCATTCTATGGAACCCTTCACAACTCTAGCATTCCATGGAACCCTTCACAACTCTAGCATTCTATGGAATCCTTTACAATTCTAGCATTCTATGGAATCCTTCACAACTCTAACATTCTATGGAATCCTTCACAACTCTAGCATTCTATGGAATCCTTCACAACTCTAGCATTCCATGGAACCCTTCACAACTCTAGCATTCTATGGAATCCTTCACAACTCTAGCATTCTATGGAATCCTTCACAACTCCAGCATTCTATGGAATCCTTCACAACTCTAGCATTCTATGGAATCCTTCACAACTCTAGCATTCTATGGAATTCTTCACAACTCTAGTACTCTATAGAATCCGTCCCAGCTTCCCTCAGGCTGAACTGAATTTCTACCCCGTACTACTTCCACTTAATTTTAATACTATTTATTTAATTTTTTTGATGCATCTTCGGATAGGCCATTGTGGCCTGGTACTCTCGCTCTCCTCCTTCTCTTGTTCTTTCACTTTCACTCTCTTTTCCCTCCACCACTTTTTTCTCGCTCTCTGTTCAATGAGCCCTTGCTTGTAGCCTTGCCCTTTCCAATTCTTTCATTTCTTCATTTGCTCTTTTCCTATTCTCTACTGTTTGTTTACTTACTCTCTCTTGTTCCTTAAATGATCCTCTTCTGATTTCTGAGTACTTTATTATTGATCGAGCACTCGTGTAATGTCGACAATTGTTTGAAATTAACAAATCACCATCTTATTGCTCTGTTACTGACATTTAAATAATACTACAAATATGCTTTCTCATAATGAATCTTATTTTGTAATTGACTTCCTTATGTTAAAATTTCAACATGTACAAGTAAAATTTGTCAAGAAAAGTCAAGCTTGAAAAACTGTTAAATTTGAGAATGTTTCCAATTCATTATTTTGGACTAACGATCTTAATTTCCCACAGACATTTTAAGCAATTCTTTGGTATTCATATAATACCACCTATCTTTGCGTTTCTCTGAAGTTTTAAAGCTCGATTTGAATAATCAGCAATGTACAGTTCCAAAGAATCAATTCTTCATTATTTCTTAGTAGCAATGCAGTATTTCATATGGATTTATGCAGTCGTGCATTGATGCAATTTTTGTTACTCAATAATTTTATTCTCATAACAATGATTGATTCAAGATTGAGGCACTCAGTCCTGGAACAGAAGTAAATATAATGGTTTTGTACATTTCATTAAAATTTTCAGTTCTTATAGAAACCTGTTAAATATTGGGGAGTCTATTTTGAGGGCACTGTCTCTAACTTCAATTTCATGTCAATTTTGGGGACCTCATTTCCTAGCGGGAACAAAAAATTTGATAATAGATTATTTATTTACAGTATGGATCTGTTTTTTCTACAGCAAACATTTGTTTGCCCGCTTGTTTTTTAAATGATATTAAAACATTTTCTTTGTTATGTTTTAGATTATTTAATTAATACAAATACATACTTCATAATTCCATAGTCAATGAATAATCATACTTTATAAAAAAAAATATATAAAAAAAAAAAGAAAGAAAACTAATTTCTTTGAGTGCACGCTGTAATGAGACGCGTTGAGCACAATTTCTGTAATGGCAATAAAACTTTAAAATAATTTTTTAAAATTCATGTTTATTAATTTTTTGGTTAATATATAATATTTATTTTTCATAGGCAATAATAGGTATCCCTGATCTTCCTCTGTGTTGTTTACATTTAATTTAAAGCATCTTTGTTTTTCAGCAGTCGAAGAATCCCATCAACAATGCTCCCCCATCCCCCATGGGACCACTGGATATTTATTGTGACATTGCCGTCAATCAACTAGACTGATAAACAAGTGGCAGTGAGCTGCTAACCAATGGAGCCAGTCCCTAATGGGCCAAGAGCTGCAGGAGAGACAGGACCTTGATAATTCTTTGTATACAGATTCTCCCAATGTTTCAGTGATACATTGTAACTGGCCTTTTAATACAGTCACAGGTACCTACCTGTTTGTGTGTGATATTAACATTTTAACCCCTTAAGGATACATTACTTCTAAAACTGTGTCCTTTTGCATTAGTATTCAGAACTAAATTATTCATATAAACCATATAGTAATGCAGACACCTGTGAAACACGTATGATGAAGCCTAGGTTGCATTTTGTCGATTGCAAGCTTGGTAGCCAATGAATAAAAATATTCTAAGAAATTGCTGCTATCAATATGACACCCCAGCCACAGAAGTCAATTGAGGGTATATTTCATATACATCCAAGGCTGCTATTAAAAGAACATTCCGGTCACCATAACAACTTTATCTTTTTTATGAATGGGGAGCACCTAATTGGATTAGAGCATCAGCTGATCGTTTTAGTCAATCTGCAGCACCACTGTTACAGACCCTGAGGAGTCAGGCAAGGCCTAGACAGAACAGGAATATGTGAGTGTGAGGGGGAGTGTATAGATGGAATGGCAAGGAGGTCATTAGAATGGTGGGAGGAGGATTAGGGGAAGGGGGTGGGATAGTATAAATATGTGGGCATTTTACATGCTAACAGACATCTTACTTATCAGTTGGTAACAGCTTGGTAGTTGCTTCACATGTGTACCTGCTTGCCAAGTGACGTTTTTGTCCAGGATCTGAGTATGGACATCAAGGCTGTCCTTTCTGCCCTCATGGCTGAGGCCTTACAACATGGGGGTCTACACCTGCAGGTTCAGCCTGCTCATCTGCAGGCCTCCGCAGTGATTGCCGCCTCTCCGCCCATCGGTCGCAGGGCTTCTTGAAGGCGAGCTTGGCCACCTGAACGTTTCAGCCCTCCAGGGGCAACTGCGGCTTTTCCTGAGCTCAGGAGCGCCGGCCCAGCCTCTCAGATCTGTTGGTCTGTGGCCATGAGGCTTGGTTCACCTCCCCCACAGGCTCCCGTTGCAGCACGCGCTCGTTTCCAGTCTTCCTCTCCAGCCCCTTGTAACAGGAGCTGCAGTCCCACCTTCCGGGCCGGCTGGTCTGCGGCTACGTGAGCAGGTGTCAATCCTGCTGTCCCGGAATTATTGGAAGGGTGTGAGGGACCACAGGGCGCTTGAGCGGAGCAGGATTAAGCTAAACAATCGTGTGTCTTAGAGCAAAATGTAGCTATGTATTTTAGGGGTGATGGGGTCCACCTTACGAAGGTGGAACTTGACTTAATTTGCATCACAGATGGTGTTGGGGTGGTCCCGTTGATTTAGGGGGTAAACCAGCAGGGCTTGTGGCGGTATATGGCCCTTGTCAACCAGGGAAAGTGAATGGCTTTCCTTCCCCTAACCTCAGGTACAGTTATGGATAAAAGACGTGCCCACTGAGTCAATAATCGGCTAATGGTTAGCATTACGAGAATAGAAGGCCCAAAAGGCCTTGTGCTGTTTGGGACACCCAGAAAGTCCTTGTGCTGTTTGGGACGAGGGGGTAGGGCAGCTGCCCAAGTGAATGTTTTTGCTTGGCAGGGTGGTACTCAGTGACGTATATATTTACTGAGTAAGTTATGTACATAGGATGTTTATGTTATAAAGTTGAAGTTTAAAGATTTATACATATTTATATATTTAATAAAGCTGTGGCCTATAATATAATAATCATTTCTGGCTGCCACAGTGTCATTGTAGGTATTGCCAAATGTTAGTAAGACCTACCCGAAAATGATGAGATTAAGTTCAATCAGTACTACTTATTGAAAAGACTAGACATGCAGTTACCCTAAGCTGGAGCTTGATGGCAAGTGTGTGGGGTAAAGGTGGTGTTACGAAACATGTGGCTTATTAAGGAAACTTCAGATGTTTTACCATTCTTGTATCATTCCTCAAATGTATGGTACTAATTTAAATAAGAAAAACAACAAAAAGACGGTCTAGTGCTTATGGAGACAGCTTCTATTCTATTCCTCCAGCTGTTGCAAAACCCCCATGATGTTTGTCCAATAATCAATAAAGATTGTTTCCAGAGGCTTTAAGTTCTAGGATCTACACATACAAAGCCTTAACGTCACGAAAAGTCCTAATGTCTACATTATCTGAGGTTACCAACTCCACGATTGATATGCTGCATTTTTATGTGACCTCCTATGCTAAAGGCCACTATTGACCTCTGTGTTGGACACAGGTGGCTTCTCTTGATATTGTCCATGAAACTCACCATTTTCGCAATGTTTTCCGGTGTATCCAGCCAGACACGCACATTTATAGGATCCTGTATTCGTCACAATACATGTCCCATCATGATAACATGGAGAGGAGGAACACACTGAAATACAGGAAAATAAAGTATGGTTGGGTGATACCATCTTTTACATACATACATGGTTTTTCCAGCAGAAGAGACAATTTTTAGATAGATTTGTATGGTTCTTTTCATGATAGAAAGTATGTACACCTGAATCCTTCTAATTTGTGAAGATCTATTCACAAAAGTATGTAAAAACTGTCTATGCGTGAAATACACAATATGCATTTCAGCACAGAGAAGAGAGAGGTCTCTTACAATGTACTGACTTTGCTGTGGTGATACTTTTTCAGGTTGCAAGCCATGTGCTTAAATGTGTTGTGTGGCTCTTATGGGCCCCACCATCAGCCTCACACTGGTGCAATACAATGTTTCGGCCTATTTATCCTTATTAACAATCGCTCAATGTGCCAAACCAATGTTTGTATGGTTTCAACACAAAACCTGTTCTTGATAAGTTGCCTAATAATTCATGTAGTAATAAAAGGAAACGCTCTCCTTACAGTGATATTTTTTTACGGTAATTTATTGCCATCCATCTTAGCATTCAGAATTTCATTAATGTCATGTAGCCACATGCACAGAGACAGGATATGAGGTACCTCTAGACTGTAAGCTCATTTGAGCATGGTCCCCATCTACTTATTGTCCCTTGTATCATTTTGTAATGGTCTCATTTATTGTAAAATTTCCCCCTTTCATAATTTTGTAAAGCACTGTGGAATAAGTTGGTGTTATTGGTATAAATATCACTGATAATAATAATAAAAATAATACCCTTGTATGCTTTAATTTTTTATTTGAGAACATAGTTTGTTTGGTAAAAAAAAAGTACCTGTGAGTTCTTCAAAGGTAGCATAGAATCCATCAAAATTCTTTGATCCGTCTGACTGGAAGAGGAGATGCAAAGAATTCCCAGAGCTACGGATGGGCAGGGGTCTCTCGTTTCCACAGAACCGTTTTATTACCTTGGCATCTATGTTATCACCATCTCGAATCTCCAAGTAATCATATTGACACATATAATCAAACTCCGTGCTTAGCATTGCAAACCTATCCAAAGAGTCAAATATCAGTGAACGGCAGAGCCAAACCATGGGAGACATGTTCTTGCAAAATTCAAAAAGTTCAACGCACAGATATTGAAAAAATAATCACTTCCCTTTTAGAGTTCCAAGTTGGTGGTACTTTATTTACTAATCAAATTAGTAAACTTCATAAATGCACAAATATGCACAAATTAGAACTATTAGCAGATCTCATATAATAAAAGCACATTAATGCATTTCTTTTAAGATAATATTGTGTGAAAGCTATATTTACTGTACACATATATTGGTTTTTTTGATGATCAAAGTGAAAACAAGAAAAACTAAACAAAATGTTTATTTTTGCAACTTTCTTTTTAACATTTAAATAGTTTTTTTCAATTGCAGCTAGTTAGCACTTGGTTCCCCATAAATCATATCTAGGATACCATATTTATGAAAATCCATCGTCTGGAGATGGTATTGGTTTTACTGCTCCAAATGAACATTCTAACTTGTGCTTAGAATGTTTTCATTTTTTTTAGGCTAAACACAATTTTCACAATAAAAAAAAATGGATATTAACGTGGAAACTATGTTTTCTTTATTCCTGAATAGTTCCTTCTATGTAGATTAAATTAATATCTCACGAAATAATGTATTACTTTTGCAATCAAAGTGCAAAAAAAGATCTGAACAAAGCATGTGGCCATACTGTGTGGTTCTGCAAATATTTGCTCTACCAGCCAAATTCAAGACGGTTGGAATTGGTAAGAGAACCCTGATGACATTAACGGATCACAACCATCTAATATTAAATGGATGCTATTTTAAGCAGAATATCGAGGAAAGTGGAAATGCATGTAAAAACCATGTAATGTGCACGCTTTGATTGTTAGTTCTACAGTAACTTTTTTTATGGTAATCCATAAA